ATAAGCAGTGAAAAACATTTTTATACAAGAAAACTTTATTCTTTGATTACCCTTTGATCCTGGGTTGGCTTCCGAAAAACCCAGCCCTGGTTGATTACAACAAATTAATGTTGCTTGAGCCTGCGAGCCAATCAAAACCCAGTACTTGGTCAGCGGTCAACTTAAAAAAAAAACATGTGACCTCAATGAACTCTAAACTTGAGCCTGCAATATGGTCATGTGATACTGGTTAGCAGATACCTTGTTTTGGCAGTTGGAATTTATAAACCTCCTGTGAGCTTGGGAGGATCGACAAGCAAACGTTTAAACGTCTCGAGGGGTTAACTGAGACTCTCCGCATTCATTCTCTACAAACATAGTCACACCTTCAGTCTTTCAGATAGCTACTAGCATTGACCCAGTTACACATGTGCTGACTGCAACAGAATATCAATCAAAACTCCCTCTCTCCCTCTCTGTTCGTTACCAAGACTTTGTCTACTGTTTTGCATTTCGTGGTAAAAGATTTGATTTGAGGAGATATAGCTACGGTAATAATTTTGTTTATCAGTGAAGTTGCGTGCTCCCATCACACAACATGGTTAGTGACTGTTATGAATCAGAGGGACCCCATTTTGAGAAGGGTACGACTTGTTATGTAAAATTTACGTTTTACAAGTTGCATATTCTGATTTCCATGAAAACTATTGTTTTTTTCCCCCTGTTTATTGTTTCATTGAGGTATGAGATACCACGCCCAATTCTTTTCTCTTCTTATAAATGTCAGGAAAATGGTTTCTTGGCCTACTTTTCAGGGACAGTAAAAAAGCTAGAAAGCTGTCAGTTTGAAAAACAACAACAACAACAATAACAACTACAACAACAAATTGAGAAAGCTGTTCATTTGAAAAATCTATAGGGTCTCTAGGGACAGTCTCGAGGACAGTCTCGAGTATGCCACTCTAGGGGCTTGACCAACACACGGGTGAACTGTGAAGAAGCCTGCAAACAGGCTCTTCGACGGGAAAGAAAGTATGCAGAAAGTACGACGGAAAGCGGGCTTACTGTGAAGTGTCAGATACAACGTATACTGCTGTACTCTTTTAAGGTTTCCAGTTTCTTTTAATTTGTAGTACACTTCTACACTATTCTAATTTAGGTCAAAATACTGTACAAACTAGTAAATCTTTCAAGACTGTAGAATTTAATGTTGATACGTCCAAGTTGTGGATTGTAACCAGAGAAGACCAATGAATACGTTAGTTTCTGGAACAACATGAAGTGTCCGAAATTCCGCAATAGCTGGAGTCCGAAATAGCGGGAGTTGTTTCCCTAAATTTCTTTGTATTTTCTGCGGGCTGTCCGCAAGGCGAGGGTTGACTGTAATGGAAATCCTGTTTTTTTCCCCCCAGGTTTTGGCTTCTTTGCTTATGAGAGCTTAAAAGACTTCATCCTGGCAATGAATGGTGCGTTAACAAAGGTGAACAAGGAAGATCAAGCAGTTCTCACCCCTTTGGGTGGACTTATGTGTGGTGCTTTTGCTGGGGCATCATCACAAACAGTCGCGTAAGTTCTTTATCATCACGATGAATCGGAAATATTATTCTAAATCGGTGATACGAGAACAATCATTGTAGTCGTTTTTGAACCACTGCAGCAGAATTTACGTAATGCTAGTAATCAAGTTTGTTGGCTTACACCAAAGTTGAAAATATTTTGCACTATAAAAAAAAAGAACTGTACATGATTTGGTAATAAAAACTCATTGAGTCATTTAGATGTTTTTAAAATGCAGAAGATGCATGTGTCGAAGTTATTTTCAGTCTCTTCTTCTTCTTTGTCATTGTCCCAGTATCTCGCCAAGCACGAAATTCTAAAGTTGCAGTGGAAATTTATTTCTAGATATCCTTTAGATGTTGTTAGACGACGCATGCAGCTTGCTGGAGCAGTATCTGATGGTTACAAATACAGGTAATTCGACCGACAGACGGACGGACAGACAGACAGACAGACAGACGGACAGACTGACTGACTGACTGACTGACTAAGACAGATAGGTATTTGTATATTTCACCCATTTACACTTTCATTAATTTATCTGTCATTAATAGACCATATTCGTATTCTCGGTATTGGACTGGAACTAGCTTGCAATGGAGGCTCATGCGGGGGAATATTATTAAAAAGCATTTGAGAAGACTGCCCGCATTAGCCTCAGTTGCAAGCTGGTTTCAGTCCAATACCGGCATACGAATATGGTCTACTCATGTTGGATTTTTGAGACAATTTAACTCCAACGTATGCAGTTTAATAAAAGGAATTGCAAATTCATACTGTGCATTATTTCGTAATTATGAAAACGAGTTTCAGATATTAAATTTGTTACTGGGAATACCGTAAATCCTCGAATTAACGCCCGGGACGCTTATGTCGAATTTAAGAGAAGACGGGGAGCGCTTATTCGAGTAGGTGCGCTTATTTCATTTTGCCCAAATCGTGGCCTGACATGAGAACTTTTTAATACATCATCTGCGCGTAAACACCAACATAAGCTGTTTATTGACAAAAAAAGCTGATTCTAAAGTTTAAATCGCGGCACTGTTAGTACTTAACGTGTTCAACGTGTTCACTAAACGTGTTCACAAACTGAAACTATGTACAAATCTAATACTACATGACGAAAACTACACATCCTTTGTTGTCTCATTACTCGTCCACAAAATGGGGGGAGGGGAGAAGGCGCTTATTCGAGGACGGGCGCCTATTTTAAATTTTGGCCGACATGAGGGGCGCTTATTCGAAGGGGGCGCTTATTCGAGAGGGAGCGCTTATTTTAAATTTCGGCCGATAGGAGGGGCGCTTATTCGAAGGGGAGGGGAGGCTATTTCGAGGATTTATGGTAAATTAATCCACAAGCCTACGTTGGATTCGAGGGGATTGATGGCAATCGAGGCGCGGATTTGTTGTACTGTTCTCTCTGAACGAGAACAATTCTGATGATTAGTCTATCAAATTCTTCTTCACTTATGGATCGACGGGATGCCGTGTGCGTGTCAGTATGATCTTAACTAATTGATGATGTATGAGAGACGTTAAATTTGTGGTTCGGTGTTCACTATCTGAATTTTCTTCCAAAGTATCATTCCTCGCTCGATATCCTCTAAGACGTCTATACCATTAGGAGAAGTCCGAGCTCCGAAACTGACAATTTATTACTCTGCATTTTTTGCAGTGGCTGTATCAACACCTTTGTAACAGTGTACATGGAAGATGGTGTAAGAAAAGGCTTGTACCGAGGCTTATCAATCAACTACTTGAGGGTAGTGCCACAAGTGGCAGTCATGTTCAGTGTGTATGAACTGACCAAGCAATATCTGAGTCAAGAGGTAACCAGTCCAAGGAGCGAGTGACTGGTGTATGTCCCGTCTGACTCAATGAAAGACAACTCAATGAAGGTTGTAATTCAACCAATACGGTAAAGCACCATTGACCATCATCTGGCAATTCTTTTTTTGTTCTAGCATGACATTGGAAAAGATTTTCAGAATGTTTTTCAGGAAAAACAAAACAACATCTGATGACCAGTGATTAAAAATTTTGTAATACTGGAAGCTCTTTCAAATGTTGAGTGGTGAACAGAAATGTGGGGATAAGCTATTACGCAGCCAAGAGAACACATTTTATTGATACTGCATAACCAAGCTAGGTGTAGCGCTCGTGTAAGGCATTTCTAGAACACGTGATCTGTCACTGGTGAAAAATGTGAGTATATAAAATGATTAACATCAGTGGAAAGAGTTTGACGAAATTAGATTGCAATTACTATGAGACATCTTATCAGGCAAGGAATAACATATCTTGATAACAAGAGTTAACATTATTTTCATATTGCTCTTATGGTCGGGATAGCGGTAAATAGGTCGCTCGTTTCTGGAAAACGACAACACTTTTTAATGATGCTACAAGATCATTAGCATCAACAAAGAAAGCATTTGCAAAAATGTTTAAATTCTGTAGCGTATGGAATATTAATTATGGGCCCGGAATGCTTGTCTTGCTACTTTGGTTGAGCACAGAATAAAAAGTATTTTTTCCTCTTGGAGTTTCTTTTTTTTGTCTTGTGTCTATTTTTTTTTTTTTTTCAAATGTTTGATGATGTTTCTTTCCAACGTCACTGTCTCTCGAGTTTTTCCGTTTTGTTTTTTTTGGTTTACCAGTTTGATCAGAGCAGTTTTAGTAGTTGGCGGGGCGCTTGCCATTAAGAAAAAATAATTCCGGAAATTGAAATTCATTGTGGAAAAAAAGTTGTTCCATTTCGTTACGATTAAAATCACGCCTGTGTAATGGTGCGTGTTGCCCGAAGGGGAACCTGCATTGCGGCCGATTAATTCCAGACGGACTCTTGGGGTTCACGAAGAATTTATTCTGAGGCGAAATTTAATTAAACAGAAATCGCACTGCGTTCCTGTGACATCCTTACTGGACTTGATCGGACTTTGTATTGAAGTCGGCAGCGATTTTGTCGCAAATCTCCTTTTTTTTTAGGTTGCCGCTGTTTATGATCAGCCTAAGAGGTAACTTAAAAGTTCCTCGCATTGTGATCCTGTCTCTTGTCCAGTTTGCTGGATCCAAAACAAGGGAAAGTCAAGCTGGGCTGGATGGCTGATTTTGTACCATGTGACCGGGTCGTGCAAAGGGTCTACTACGGGATCTGGGACGAGAATTCAAATATTCTTGGGTCATTCGATTGTGCACCGTGTGTAATAAAATGACCAACTTACTTTTTTTGAGAACTTTAACAGTTTTGGTTCCCGATCTACGTGGCATTTTGTCACGGGTGACCCATGATTGAAAAGTCTTTAACGAAAAAAGTCTACTGATCTGGACCATTTTCCACCCTGGGATGTTAAAAGATGCTGCTGGTACAATAGCGAATCCTCTAACTCATGTAAGTAACCTATCGTTAAAAACAGAAACTATACCGACTGGACTTGAAAGTGGCTAAAGTTATACCGCTATTTAAATCTGGTTCCCTGGCCGAAATTGATAGCTATAACCCCATATCAATACTTCCATCGATGGTATACAGTTGTCCCATCTGGAACAGAATGGTTTGCTCTCTCATTTTCAGTATGGCTTCTTTCATAATCGTTCTACAGAGTTAGCAGTTACATAACTCACCGATGATAGTGGCGGATCTAGGAGGGGGGGCTTGGGGGACCCGCCCGCCCCCCTATTTTGGGTAAAAAAAGAAGAAATCACAGAAGGAAGAAAAGCCGGCAGGGCAAGTAAAACAAAACCGGGCCCCCTCGTAGCTCAAGGTCTGGATCCGCCACTCGATGAGATGATCAGAAAACGAGCTGAAAACGGTAATTTAACAGGCTGTGTGTCTATCGATTTATCCAAGGCGTTCGACACCATCAGTCACTTTTGAACAAACTTTCTTTCTACG